AGGAGGAAGGGGTGGGGAGGGGGGCAGACGAACCACGAACGAGTGAAGCTGCTGCCAGGGAAAGGGAGGGGAGGGGGCCCCAAGACGAACCACAGATGAGTGTGATGGTGATATCAGTATCCAATAGACGGATACTCCGCAGGAATAGACATACAGACATACATACTGCAGGAATTTGCAACAAGAAGTTACCAGCCAGTAGTGACTTTGGAAGTAGTCATCGCCGTGACGTGGCCAGCTGGGTTGGGGGGAGAGTATCCAGCCGCCGAGTTCCCCCCGGGGGTGGGGGGAATTGAAATGGAATGAAAAACACATTACGACAATAAAGAGGCGCGAAACATGACAGGCCGCAAACACCGATATAATCCTGGCAACAGCTGGCAGGTACCCCCCTAAGCGGTACGGCGGTACGGCGTTCTGATCTTAGACGACTCCGCGTTCTCTTCGGTACTCCATCCCTCTAATAAATTTTTGCCCCCCCTCTCCCCCGACCTCCCCCGCCCCGTACATGTGCAAGGGAATTCTACATAAATCCCTCATACACACACACACGTACTGAATCCTCGGGATACGTGCTAAACCCCCCTGTAAAACACGTATTATTCCCCCCTTCCCCCCCATCCCCACCCGCCCTGCCTTACCTGCTCCGCTGCTGCTGCCTCCACACACCCCTCTGGCCATCACCGCCGTCGCCAACACCTCCACCTCCATCGTCATCTTCCTCGCCCTCGCCGTCACTGCTACTGCTACTGCTGACTTCAACATCGTCCTCTAATATGCGGTCTACAACACCCACGGGGGGGACCGGAAAGGGGTAAGGGAGGGAGTCGAGACTAACAACTTTCTAAGCCAAACAAGTCAAACCAACCGCCGGAGCTCGCATTCACTCAAACACACACTAACACGCACTCATAAGGGGATAGGAATGAGCTGCACATGTCCGAGGGGGGTATTTGATAATGCATAAAGCCAAAAGAGACAACTGCCAACACGCACCCACGTCCACCCCACCAGTTGCCGGCTGCCGTGCTTTTGGGGAAAAGATGGGGGAAGGGGGGGAAAAGAGGAGGCAGTTGGATACCAGGTCCTCGATGAACAGTCAGGAGGAGGGGGGGGGAAGGGGAGTTCCCTTCGTGGAGCCGAGCAGCGCGAGCAGCCCGGTGCCCCCACCCCTCCGCCTTGTGCATCTCATCCATGTGGAGGTGTGTTTTCGTGGTGTGTGTGTGTCACTGACACACTGACACACGGCGTCACACACATACAGACATACGTACATACGTCTTTACCGCTCACCTGCAGCGGAGCTGAGCAACACGCTGAACCGCGCGCCTTTCCCGCCACCGCCTCGCCCGGGTTGCTGCTGTCGGCGCTGCTGTTGCCGCACCCGCTCTCCGCCTCCGCCAACCTCTGTCCAGCCACCATCACCATCACCACCACCACTACCACCAACATTGCTGCTGCGACGGCGGCGGCGGCACCCCGCGTCGTCATCGTCTTCGTGGTTGCCATCCACGGCCTTCTTCTCCTTCTTCCGCTTCCCAACGTCTCCCCCTCCTCCGCCGCCTCTGCCTCCCCGGCCTCCTGGACCTTGTTCTTCTGTGTCCTCCAACTCCTGGGCGACGAGCACCATGGCCGCCAGCTCGGAGGGCAGTGCGGACATGGCACTGAGGGAGGGCGAGGAATCGCCGGGAGGAATTCGGGGCAGGAATTCCGGGCTTGTAGGGTTATTTTGGTTTGTACGGGGTTTCGGATTTGTAAAGGAGTTTATTTTCAGGTATTATATGGATTTAAAGGAATTTAGGAATTTTAGGAATTTTCTTCCACATCGAAATATCGGGGATCAAAGTCTAGATGATGATGTGGCGATGTGGCAATGTGGCGATGTGGCGATGTGGCGATGCTGCTGTTTTTTCCATCTCCGGACTCCATCCCCGATCCCACCCACCTCCCTCTCCTCGCCCGCGCGCGCACATACACACACACATATACGCATACACGTACACATACAGACACACACACACACCTTCTGGGCGGCAGGATGCACAGCAGCTGCAGCAGTGGCCGTACAGGCCCGTACTGCGGCGCCCAGTCGTCCAAGCTGCAGTATGCCATGTCGTACAGTTGCCGTGCAATGCATATTGGCGGTACCGCCACTTTCGTCTTGCGGCTGCCTCTGGCTGCCAGCGCCTGGATGCGGGAGCTGGCCAGGTCTTGCATGAGGGGTGCGTAGTGGTGGGGGTATGCCCTGAATTAGCCAGGGGGCAGGGGGCCCGCCGGGGGGGGAGGGGAGGGAGTTGGGAAGGATCATATGCGTGAGCGGAAGGATAAGAGTCCTGGGGTTTATTTATCTCCCCTCTTCTCCCCCAACCCCACGCGCACACATACACACACATACACACATACACACACATACACATACATACACACACATACACACACATACACACACATACACACACATACACACACATACACACACATACACACACATACACACAG